AGAAAGTTATTCAACCTCTTTAGCTTAGCTTGTTCTACTTAACAAATGAAAATAATAAAAACAGCCTTAAAAAACACTGAACAGGGGCAGGCAGACAGCTCAGTAGAAAATGCGCTTTCCTGGCAAACACAAAGTCCTGAGTTCAAAGCCTGGTACCATAAAAAAAAATCTGAATAATTATTACTATGTTTAAGATTAGGAGAAATGTTTTAGAGGTATAATTTCATTAAACTTTTCAGATATCTTTATGGAGAGGTATTATTGGTCCCCTTTCATGGATGAGAAAACTAAGGAACAGGGAAGTTGAGTAAAAATGTTATAAAGATAGCAAGAGGTAGGGTCATGACACTGGATCATTTGACCTCAAATCTTTTGTTCTTCTCATTGCTATAAAGTGTTGACTTTTCATAATGATTAAAAACAATGTGTATAAGGCAACTAGTGTAGGATCCTGCCAATAATATGTTTCATAAACTTTAGCTGATGTTATTAATTAATAAACAACAGGTGCTTAACAATAGGACTTCATTGGGTAAGATCATATATATCATATATATGTATATACATACATACATATATATACATACACACAGAGATATCTATCTATTTATCTATCTATCTATACCTGTGTGTGTGTGTTTTTCCATCAGGGTTTTTTTTTTTTTTTTTTTTTTTTTTTTGAGTGTGTACAGGGTCTCACTATGCAGCTCAGACTCGTAGCGATCCTCCTGATTTCTGCCTCCCTAGTGCTGGGATTACAGGTGTGCACCAGCATGCAGGACATCATCTCTGGCTCAGTGCCCAGGGGTGGAGCTGGCGCAGCATGCGGTGCCAGGGATGGAACCCTGGCCCCTGAGCTTACCTAAGCAAGTGCTTAGTTTGCTGAGCTATATCGCTGGCCCTTCTCCTTCAGTTAAGATCAAACTGTTGGTTATGTACGTCTTACAGAAAGATTCACCAGGGCTGGTGAAGCTTGTGACTAAGAACAGCAGCATGTCTTGGCAAGTGCGTATCAACATGAGGAACTGGCGTGTGCTTGTCACTACTGTGAGTTTTTGGGTTTGGCCTCTTACTAAAGCTAAAAAAATCTTTTGGCCCAAGCCCAGAAAGACAAATATATGATCTCACATACATGCACGGTCTGAAAAGTGGAGCTCATCAAAGCGGAGAGCAGAGGGTGGTGGCCAGGAGCTGAGGGTGGGAGCTGAACTTTCACTTATAAAATGAACTAGTTCTGGGGATCTAATGTACAAAATAGTAGGTCGCGTGTGTCAATTAATTTAATTGTGATTATATATAT